GATTACACGTGAATTTTGTTGAATTTTAGGCTCTAAAACCATCAAATTTGGACAATAAGGTAAAATTGAGTGATAATGTTTAAAAATTTGGTCAAGTATTACACGGAATAGACAAGGATTACGTAGGGATTACACCCTCATCTGTACACCGGATTACGCGAGTGGTGGCCCCCTCGGCGGCGGGGCGAAGTCCGCCCGCGAAACATGCACTTCCCCGCTATCGAGCCGGCAATATGCGCCGGGAAGGGCGGCAGCGGGCGGCGGCACAGGTGCCCCGATGAGCCCCATACTTCAGGCCAGGCGCCGCGCACACCGGGGCGCACGGCCGGCTGATCGCCAGAGGTAAATCAGTCCGAACTAGTTTAATTCCTTTTACTTTGGCCCCGTGCCGGCTGCTGCTGCATGGCCCGGACTCGTTTTATTGAAACGATTATTTCACGTCCGACATTTATGGTCCGGCTGAGTAACGGCGGCGCCGCGGGGCGCGCGCGCCGCCTCCATATCGTGCACCTAACTACTCTTTAGTCTGCTCACCGCTTGCTGCCGTCCAGGTCGAGCGTCTCGCCGTCCCTGGTCCAGGTGACGGCGGGCTCGGGCTGGCCCTTGGGCGGCCCGCACTCCAGCAGCGCGTCGTCCCCCTGCGCCACCCGCATGCTCCGGGGCTCCACCGAGAACGTGTCCCTCAGAACTGCGGCAAAGCAAACATACGGCAAGGGTTACATTTAGAAGCTGTAGAAATGCGAGTAATTCAGGGTGTTCATTTATTTGGTCACAAAATTCGCAAAATTCAATGGTATTAGTAGAACTAATAGTTAGTGTTTTTTGTCCACAAATTAAAAACGCACTGGAAAACAATGCTGTTAAGTCACGGCTTTGAAAGATGAGAAGGTTTTGTGCCATTTAACAAGAGATTACAACTGCCGTAGGCACTAATTTTTAACACCCTCAAGACTCTTTGTGTCTTTTAAACTCGACACTTTTTCAACATCTTTGAAAGAGGTTTGACTTTGGTAGCATATATTTGCAGTGTGTTGGTACACTTTCCAATCCCCACGTAAGATAGTTTTGCACTCACCTGCCACCTCGAGCGTGGCGTTCCTGCTGGTGGCGTTGCCGTAGGCGTTGCGCGCCACGCACCAGTACACGCCCGCGTCCGAGTCGCGCCGGTCCTTGCTGCGCTGCGAGGCGGACAGCAGGAAGAGCGAGCCGTCCGACAGGATGATGCGGTGCGGCGCCGGGCCGTGCGTGCGGATGGGCGCGCCGTCCTTCCACCACTCGACGCCGCCGCCCTCCAGCCCCTCCACGCCGCACTTGAGCGTGACGGGGTCGTGGCGCGGCACCACCATGGACTGCGGGTGCTCCGTGATGCGCGGCGCGCGCGCGTGCCCGTGCGCGTGGCCACCTGGAGAATCAAAGGAAACGTTGCGTTAGTACCAGGTGGTGATTGTGTGGTCCATAAGGATGAGGTTGTCCAGACAAATTGGCTGGAATTTCAAAAAAGCCTCAGATGTCTTTAATTTTCTATTTTATCTTTTGCAAGTTTGAATTAAGAAATATTCGATTTTTCACTGAAAATTTTCGACTTCTTTTCGATCCAAAGCGGACAGGGAAAATATTTAAGAACGGAGCACAAAGAACAAGTAGAAGTACAAAAAACTACAATTTGACTTCATACAGTAAATTTTTTTCAGTGGAGAGTCAAACACAAACAAGTTTTGATGACCCTCAATCAGGCGTCACCAAGATAAAAGAAGTGTATGTGTCATATCGTGCTGACGTAATGTTTAGCATGTACACGCATCGTACATTGATATCTCAAGCGAAAACCTGCAAACCACCTTCGAGTGTTGACATCACTTCTAATATCAGTAAAACGTGTGCACGCGAAAAATACATGATAGGTAGCAGCTTCCAATAAGTCTATAAGGTTCTCCATTCTGCTGGTTCCAGAACGGTGGCGTGCGACGATCTCCACGATGCGGGGGTCCAGGAGGGGTCAATTCTTTCTTTCGGGGTCAGAACACCAGACCGACAGAAAAAATAAGCGAGCGCGAATGACGACAAAACTGGCTTGATACAGCGCTCGTCCCTAACTCAAAGCACGCACGGCGCAGCGCCTCTAAAGAAACCAAGTATCTTTGCGCGACGCTTGAGAAACCAAGTATCGTTGCGCGACTCTAGTGAAACCAATTATCTCAATTTTTGGGTGATTTTTGAAACCTATACCATTCAACAGAGAACTTTTCCCTCAATTATTGAAATATATAGTTAGTGAAAAATCGTCAAAAAATGCGTTACGTGGTTTCACTAGAGTCGCGCAACGATACTTGGTTTCTCGAGCGTCGCGCAAAGATACTTGGTTTCTCTAGAGGCGCTGCGCTGTGCGTGCTTTGAGTTAGGGACAAGCCATGATACCAGGAAGAGTGGCTGTTACGTCACACTCCTAATCACTGCAACATAGATAACGATCGTAGGCTCACGACGTTTTCACGCGGCCGGCTTCTATCGAGGCGTCGTTGCTGTGATAATGCTATATGGTCTCTGCTATCTCAGCGCGGCGGAGGTAGAGCAGAATCGGGCGGTGCTGACCATCGCGCAAGTCGCGCTGCAAACATGGCGAGCGTGTCGCGGATAGGTGAGCAACATAGTCCGAGCCAGCCCGGGCCCATTTCGACTGGGTGTGCCGTCATTCTGTGTAAACAACAGTCCTCCCCCTACCGCAGCCATCCTGCTCTCGGCGCTGGTCATCTTCCTCGTCCTGGTGGGCGTGTTCTTTGGGGTCTACCTCAACAACAATGGCAGCAGCAGGTAGGATTGAGGAGTTTTCCTCCACAGATGTCAACGTTTGTCAACGTATGTGCTTAACGTAAGTTATCCCGCCCTCTCTTGTCCAGCTCCACGACGCCCAGCCCAACGACGCCCAGCCCTACTACTCACAGCCCTAATACACCTAGCCCCAGCCCGTCTGCGCCACCAGTCACAGCCACCATCGTGGACTGCGGCGTCGTGGAGGGCGAATGGGTCGAATCCGCCGCCGGTGGCTCGTACGCAGCCTTCAGGGGCGTACCGTACGCGGAACCACCACGCGGCGAGCTTAGGTTCAAGGTGAGATTGCCTTAAAGAGGTCTAGTCACTTTGGCATGGTCTTTAAAATAAGAGTTGTGAATTTTCGAGGGAGATGTGAGTTTTCTAAGATTATACATTATCATAAAATTTAAGAAGACTTGAATCAGGTATGAAAAAGTTTGCCAATTGAGAAACATTACAAAGCAGTTTCGCAATTTATATCAATAAAAATTATTGTTTGTTTTCAACATTCAACTGAACCAACCATTCAACTGAAGAAATGTCAGATGTTCAAAACGCCCCATTCCATTCCAGGGACCTCGCCCGCCCGCAAAATGGGATGGCATCCGCTCGGCCAAAGAGGAGGGCAACACCTGTTTCCAGTCCGGCTCCGTTGGCTCCGAAGACTGTCTGTACCTGAACGTGTACACGCCCAAGCTACCGAGCAACAGCGTAAGTAGGTCGTTACTCCATTATGAACAGCGAGCTGCAGGTAGCACACACACTACCAAAGCTGCTTGTGTTTTGCAGGACCCGTCACCAGCACTGCCTGTCTACGTCTTTATCCACGGCGGGGTATTCCAGTACGGCAGTGGGTCGGCGCAGGGCCTGGGACCAGACTTTCTGGTGGCTCAGGACATTATCGTCGTCACCATGAACTACCGCCTTGGTGTTTTGGGTAAGGTCCACGTTATCTGTACTGACTTGTAATGACACATTATAATTCGTATAGAATTCACGTGTTATCTCGAGGCGTCTCAATGTCTCATGTCTCATTATAATACGAGAACTGCTGTATCCTTACAAACACGTTATTTCCGGAAGGTTACTTGAGCTTGGACACCGAGGAGGTTCCTGGTAACCTAGGGCTGAAGGACGCCCTTTACGCCCTGAAATGGGTCAACAAAAATATCGCAGCCTTCGGCGGCGACCCGAGCAAAGTGACACTCGGCGGCCAATCCTCGGGTGGCGTCAGCGCTAGCTGGCTGTCGATCCTGCCGGCCACCAAAGGTGAGCGCGTTTTCCGAGAAATCCTCTTTTAATCCCAGCGTTACTGAAAGCCGTATCTTTTCATTGTACTTGTGCGGAGCAGGGTTGATACGATCGGCCATCACCCAGAGCGGGACTGCCGTGTCGAGCTGGGGGCTCAACCTCAGGAACGTCGAGTACGCCCAGGCCATCTACAAGCAAATCACAGGAAAGGACACGAAAGATTTGACCGACATTGCAAAACTAGTATACTCCGCCAACCTCAAAGAGTTGTACGATGCGGCGCAGGCTGCCACACTCCAGCTGCAGGCTAACAAGGGACTCGGGGTAAGACATTTCGACTGGATGAGCTTTAGTGACTAGCTTACAAAACTGCGATGCTTTGTTTAGACGGACATTAGTTTCTTCTACTTGCCAACTCTCGAATTACGACCGGACGGTGCGGAAGACAAGTTGATAACGAAGGATCCAGAGAGTTACATGATTCTGAAGGAAGCAAACGACATTCCGACAATTCTAGGCGAAACAAAAAGGGAATGGGCCTTGTTTCTCCAAACTCTTGGTAGGTAAACGTTAATAAGGGTTTTCCATCTTTCTTTCTATAATAATTAGTTAAAAGTTTACTTTTATTTTCTGTGTGCAGATTTGTACAAAGACGACAAGGTTTTGAAGAGTGCCATACAAGATTTAATTACGCTGGTACCCAATACAATAATCCCAGGAACTCAAACGCAACAAAGTCTTCAAATAACGGACGAAGTAGAAAAACTGATAAAAAATGACGAAACTAAATACGTTCAAAATATTAAGGATCACTATTTTTTACAAAACACCGATGCAGAGTGCAGCCCGTACGGGGATTTATGCAAAATGGGAAAGGTATCATCTTCTCTGCATTTAATGCTGTATAACAACTGAGTGGTAATGTCTCCTAATGTGCTGTTCGAAAATCTTCTCAGTATTTAGACCACGTGTACATCATGGCTGACACAGACCACTTCCTAAGGCTGAGGGCAATGTACGTGAAATCACAGACTTACTCCTACGTCTTCAATTTGAAATCTGACTACAACGGTGACTATTCTTCATTCCCCGTCTATCTAAAAGATGGTTAGTTTCGTCCGTCATGCGTTTCTTGAAATAAGAAAACCGAAGCAACAGGTTAATTATAACAATTTTTCAGTCGTATATCATGGAAATGACATGAACTACGTGTGGAAGCTTTCGACTATAAAACAAGACTACAATGGCAACGGAATAGCGTCTAAAGCTCTGCGGAGACAAGTCACACTACTGGCCAACTTTATAAAAACAGGGTGAGCGATCAAAAAAAGAGGATTTTAGGAGTTTTTTTTCAAGAGTTAAAACTTTGAACCTGCTTTTCTCTTTAGTAACCCAACACCCGAGAAGAGCGAGCTCATAACGGAGTTATGGCTTCCTGTCAACAGCGGGGAAGAAGAGCAGTATCTGGAAATAACAGAGAATCTCACCATGCAGAAAGGCAGCATGTCTGGACAAGACGGAAAGTTCTGGCAAGAGATATTCTCCCATTTCCGTGTAGACAAAAGTCCATAAACTTCAACAAGTATTTGTGTGTCTTTTTTACTCTCAACGAACCTCAGTTCTTAAGAAAACTTAATTTATTCTTGCACGCCCTGGTTTTCTCTTTTATGAACGTTTCCTCGCCATGAATATAATATGGCAAATCCCACCTCCTAGAATGTTGCCAGCCTATGCCTATGGTGGCTCGGCGTCCTGGCCGGTCCGGGACATGGCTGACTAGTGGCATTGCGGGCCTTCTTGATGAGGGGCCGGGGAAGCTCCTTAAAGTTGTAAGCCGTAGTTAAACTTTAAGGTGCGTCCCTCCACCCCCACGCCACCCACCTACTCTCTCTCTCTCTCTCTCTCTCTCTCTCTCTCTCTCTCTCTGAAACAACGTCATGAGCATATGGTGGAGGAGTGGCGGAGCGGCTCCCCAGTCATGGAAATTTAACGCGCTCTCCTTCAAATAGAATTGCGCGATTCGCTCGTGCCCTCGGGTAAAGGCTTATTTCCCTGATTGCCGGGCGAGCGAGCGAGCGAGCAAGAGAGAGAGAAAGGGGGGGGGCACCTACACTGTTGCACAAAGGTGACTGCTCTGGGCCAGCGACGAGAGCCCCCTTCCCCTCCGAGCGCACGCCTGGGCTATGGCCCCGGCTGCTGGCCCGCGCAGATAGTACGATTGGACCATAGAGCGTCAGTGCGAAGCGCGCGCGCATCAGGCCGGGCGCCTAATTTATGCCCCCGAGGCGAAATCGCGCGAGGAATGCGCGCGCACCGTGTAAATCTTTTCCGCGGCGTCAACGTAAATCTCAGATCGGGCCGCTCCGCCGCTCCTGTAGGCTCTGCGCGCGCACTGCGGATAAGACGCGGGTCAGCTAACTGCGAGTAACGGGGTCACGCGGCGCGGGCACACACACGTTTCCGCTGTCATTTCGCCGCCAGTATTTCCCATGAATATGTCCGCCCGGTAACGACCAGCGCTGCCGCACATCATGGCGGCCGGCGGGGCGCGGTGCCGCGGCGCAGCGCGAGCGAGCGCACCTGGACCGACCGCGCCCCGCGCCCCGCTGTCCGCTGATTTACAGGCAGGCGTTTAGCCGTGCGCGGGGGGCAGGGCGGGGCAG